TTTTAAACTTTATTTTTGGATTGTTCATTGCTGAAACAAAAACAACAACATCTTCTTCTTCTTCTTCTCCTCCTCCTCCTCCTCCTCCTCCTCCTCCTCCTCCTCCTCCTTCTTGCAAGCTTATTCTTAAATTACTTAAAATTATATCTTAAATAGCGTTTTTTTTAAACTTTATTTTTGGATTGTTCATTGCTGATACAGTTGAAGCTAGTGCTGTGGCTCAGGGATAGAATACTTGCCCACCACGGGCAAGACCCTGGGTTTTATTCCAAGCACAGAAAAACAAAATCTCCCAAATCAATGTCAAAATACAGCTGATTCTTGCACACTAGCTTTATACCTTATAAATGTGTTAGTTCTAACGGAGTTTCAGTGAACCTTAGGGTTTTCTGCATAGAAGATCCCATCAGATGCAAATTAGACAGTTTTACTTTGTTCTTCCCAATCTGGATGTTTAAACTTCATTTTCTTGTCTAATTGCCCTGGCTAGTATCTCTAAGACAGTACTGAATGTAAGTGGTGACAGCTTCATTGTTGTTTATGTTCTTTGGAGCAGAGAGGGAAGCATCCAGTCTTTCACAATTAAGTACAAAGTTAGCTGTGAGATCTTTAAAAACCGTTTTGTAGCTGGGTGACAGTGGCACATGCCTTTAATCCCAAACACTCGGGAGGCAAAACCAGGCAGATCTCTGTGAGTTCGAGGCCAGCCTGGTCTACAGAGCAAGATCTAGGACAGGCACCAAAACTACACAGAGAAACTGTCTCGAAAAACCTAAAAATAAAAATAAATCGTTTTGTTTGTTGTGTTAGTCCTCACACATGCTCAGCAGGCCATGCCGGTGAATTACACCTCCAGCCCCTAGTAGTTGGTTTTATGTAGAAGCTGTTTCTCAGGCTGAAAAAGTTCCCTTCTTTTCCTAGTTATATTGAATGTGTTTATTGTGAGGCACTGCTGGATTCTGTCAAATGGTTTTTCTGTAGCTCTTGAGATGATTGTGTATTTTTGTCCTTCTATTAATATGACATATTGCATTAATGGAGTCTCAGATGCCACTTGTTTTTTGGTTTGTTTTTTTTCCTGTTAATTCAACTTCCCATTTTCTTATTCTTTTAGCATTCAAAGTCCCCTGGAGGAACCCATTAAATGACATCTACAATTGATGTGATTCAGGGTTTCGATGTTCATGGTGATTCTTTATGAGAATTTCCATCTCCGGGGCTTTGTATCTCATCAGAAGTCCTGGTGATGGTTATAGGACTTTTCTGTTTGCTATTATTGAGTAGTGTGAGCGTAAAACAAATGTTTAGATGTACTTACACAACCCAACTGTGTAAGTACATCGAATTATTTTAGTGGTATATGTGATGCAGCTTCATAGTGTGGGTACGATTATTTTGGAGGCAGAGAGTTTTAACTATTTTATTTATATGCTTTTTAGGGATGATAAACATATTATGAAGAGTAAAGTATGTTGCTCATATTTCTGGCAATTGTAATTGCTATCGATGTATTTTGTCTTAGAAAATTTGTGTACCTTCAAATTTCTTCCTTCACTATAACGAGATTTGTTTCGTAGTATGCATTTCCATCATGTTCCTATTTTATAATGTACATTCACATTAATTGCAATCTCCCTCTCTTGGATGCATTTTTCTTTTCCATGCGGCTCCTTCCCTTGGCTGTATTGTCACTTCCATTGATGATGCATCTGCTAATTAATGGTTCTCCTCTGCATGCCTGCCCTCTTTTTGTTCTTGATTTTGCCGTTCAGCTCTATTTTTTATTTCAACTGCAATCACTGGGACTTCTCCTCTACTCTTATTGGTCTGTGACCTTCTGTGACTTATTTGTAATATTTACATGTTTATGAAATTGACAATCCACCCTCTGCCATCAGCCACCATCAAGTATGTAAGCACTGCTTTAAAAAATGGTTTCAAAAATAGTTATCTCTTGTGGTTAATGTCTGCAGCAGCTTTCTAAATTTGCAGCAAGGTCTTGGATTGTTAGAACTAGTCACTTGTAGAGATGCATGAAATCTTAGTTATTCTTTACCATGGTGAGCTGCACCTAATAGGAATTTAGCATCCTGGCTGTTATTAAGTATATGACACTTTTAGCCCATTCATGTTCATATTGTGTAGCCATAAAGGTTTATACAAGAAACGACATTCATTGTCTAATCTTTCAGATTTTCTTCTTTTCTCTCTCATCGTCTTCTGTTGATGACTTTTTCTTTTCCTTTTCCTTTAGATGCTGAAGACTTCCTGGCGGAGGGCTTGAGGAATGAGAACCTCAGTGCTGGTGCTCAGGACCAGAGAGACCACATTCTCCGGGGCTTTCAGCAAATCAAATCCAGGTTTGTATCAGCCAGCCTCATTATGTTTTTTCAGGAAAAAATCTCCTTTACCACAGTATAAGTTAACAGTGACGTGCACCTGCCACAGGTTTTCAGATTTGGCAGAAATTTACAAATTGATTTAGAAGTAGGTGAGTATATTGAAGTCTACCAATATAAGCACGTTTTGGTAATTGTCTTAAAATAATCAGGCTGATTTGGCTTTGTGTTTTATGTTAGCCTTTATAGAACACATTTGTGTCTGACAAGGGCAGAAGCATAATGGTGAGATCGGGACACTTAGGCTTGGGTCAGTCAACTAACGAGAAAGTGTTAGGGAGTGGAAGAGAATTTCCGTGTTTTCGGGGCTGACTTTCCTTTCACATCCCTTTCTGCAATAGAAAAGTTAAAATCGGGCCTGGTTAGTTGATTCTTTGATCGCACTGGCGTGTATTATTCCCAGACTGGGTAGGAACATTGTGCTCGTTAAGTTTTTAGAATAAGGAGCTCTAATCTCATTTGCACATCTTAGAATGTGGGCAGCTAATAGATGCTGGGAACATGTGCTTCCTTAGGGGAAGAAGAAATCAAAATTTCCTTTGCAATCCATTTCCTGACCGATTTCTCTTGGAAGGTGGCGACTGACCAAGCTTTGGCAGGATGAGTGCGCCTCTGTCCTTTGCCACCCAAGTGACAGTGTGATTCCAAACCTTGGAGCTGAGCACTCTAAAAATACAGCTGCAGGGTTAGGGCTGGGATCTAATTTGCATAGCTGATCATTCTTAGCTTCTACTTTCAAAACCGGTGGAAACTTCTTACACTTGAGGAATTCCATCCTTTGGAAGGGCACAGCCAGAATCTATTCTCTGCAGGAGTGTGAGAGACCCTCACGAGGTGCCCTGCTGGATCTTAATCGACCTTTCCTGCTGGCTAATTAAGCATCACTTTTACTCAGCAACTGGGGACTGTGTAATTATCAGCCTGGGTTGCCCTGAATAATTGAAACAAGCAGAATGTTGAAGATGAGTACTTCTTCTTCTTCCTTTTTTTCCCCATAAAAGTGGGAATATCTAATTTTTGGTAGGCTGTGAAGTGTTGAAATTAAACTCTTGCACAGCATTACTTCATTAGTAGATAAGTTTAGGCTTGGTTATGCACATGGAGGCTTAGTTGACGATCCATAGATTTTTCTTTGTTTTCATGAGTTTGCCTTTGTGTTATCATAAGGATCATACAAAGGATAAAGTGGAATTTTAAATTCTATTACAAAGAGAGGGACACCCAGAATATAATAGGGAATAGAGCTGTTCTGTTGATGTAAAATATGTCATATGGAATGTAAATATAATTTTGTTGACTTGTATAGACAAATATACATATATTTTCATATTTATATCACAGCATTGGCCAGATTGAAGTTTCAACATTAGGTGGGCAGTGAAAAGACAATTTGTGGTCACACTACTGTCAGTTTCATATTACGTCAATTTTGTATTTCTTCTTTTTAAAAGAAAGTATTTTGTGTGTGTGCATATTTTGCTTGCCTACATGTCTATAGACCATTTGCTTGCCTGGTGCTCACAGCAGTCAGAAGAAGGCACTGGGTCCCCTGGCACTGGAGTTACAGACAGTCATGAGCTGTTATGTGGACGCTGGGAACCAACATCTTCCAGGGTCTTCTGGAACGACAGCCAGTGCTCTCAATCTACAAGCCATCTCTCCAGCCCCTCTCATATTTCTCCTTAATCTTCTTCTGAAACACACACACACACACACACACACACACACACACACACACACACACACACACCTCACCCCTCATGGGATAAAGAAGGCTTCCAAAGAGCATTCCATATGGTTTGTGGGTTCAACACTTGAAAATAATCAGCAGGCACTTTGAGAAACATCTGTAAGTTGATGGGGGCTTTTCTGCTCGTGGATTTGTTTCTAGAAAGATGACACTTTATTTAGAATTTCATAATTATCAGATCCCCGAGGAAATGAAAACCCAGAGATTAGATACCACACAGGAAAATGGAGAGAGGAAGTTTTCCTCTCACCCGCTGTTGGAGATTGCTGTCCGCCCACGTCTTCAATCACAAGGTTGCTCATGGAATCCTGGCTCTCCCAAATCTTCTTCAGTCATGTCCATTCTGTTGACCCGCTCGTGACTGGCCGATATTGGATGCGTGTATGTGTTGATACCAATTGCCTTCAAAATACTGATGATTTGTAAATTTGTAAAAAAGCCAGCCACATTTACTGACGTGGCATAGCAGTTGTATCTACCCCCCTCAAAAGTAAGATGTGAAGAGAAATTTCAAAAAGCTTCAAATATGGGAATTATACATGAGAAATCCTAGAGCCACAGAAGGATTATTGGAGGTCATTTTCAAATATTTCATCTTTAGCCACAGTGAAGCTGTAATGCTTTAGGGATTTGGTAAATTGGTGTGTGTGCATATGTGTGTTATAATTTGTATGTATTCACACGTATTCCCACTCTATTGTTTTGTAGCTTAGGTTCTTTTAACTCCTCAATAGTTCACTGATTGGGAATGAAAAGGGTGAAGGAAAGTGAAAAATGGCCCTTCCTGTGAGTCTTGGCAACCTCTCAGGCCTTGGCTCTGGTTTTTAACAGCTGGTTTAGAATTCAGTGGTATTTGCCATGGTTATGGAGTTGCTTGAACCGGAGTGCCGAACTCTATCACTGCTGGTGGGGTGTGCTGTTTTCCACCTGTCTGTGGTCCAGGATGGCTGACCACAGAGAATGATAGTTATGTTGAATCAGCAGTGTCCCCGACCAGCTCATCAGTACATCAGTATCGATATCATAGCGCTTACCAACAACCATGGAATAAGATTTCTGTATCTACAGCTACATTAGTGTGCTTGGAAGTGTGTCGAGGAAGGACAGCATTCTTCATGGATGACGAGGCAAATGTGGGTGGAGTTTCTACGATGCCGGGGAAGGGAAGCCCTGTTGTGGTATTTCATGTCCTGAGCTATGCCTTTCCTTGTCGTCCTTCAAACTGCCTCCTCTCCTCCTAAAGACTAACCGCTTCCACATTCCGTGGCCAGGCTCTTAGTGAGCGTTTTACAGCAAGCTTGGGGGCGGGGGGAGCCGGCAAAGGCTCCTCCCCACTTTATAGTTGTGGTCACTGCAGGATTAGCTCCAGATGTGAGACACCTGGGATGAAACAGCCATGATCTACGCTCAGAAACTTGATGACGTACCTACGCATTTGGAGAAACAGTAGGGCTTTTGCTCCGTGTTTGATCAAGCGGAGGCCATCTGCCAGCAATAATACTCTGAGTGAAGGAAGGAATGAAGAGACAGAAGATTTTTATCATTGGGATGCAGATTAATCCTCTCTTGAGGGCCCTTTTTGGGACTCGTCACTCAAATGCTCACTGTTGGAAGTGAAGGCCAGAGCCAATGGAAACAAACACGGGGTATTGTTTCCTTCTGTGAAACTTAATAATATCCAAGGAGTTCCACCAGGAGACAAGTGGATTTATAAGATGGTTAAATGGACACAAAATAAAGAAATAACTTTGTGTAACAGGTTTATGGCCCCAAATCCATAAAACCCAGGACATTTAAAATATAGACAGAAAACGTATCTGTAACAGGTTTCATTGTGGGTGGCTAGCCCTTTGCTCTGCATGAAACAGGAATACACTATTCTCAAAAAAAAACCCCAAATCTCATAAAAAGAATTCTGATTTTCTTTGGTAATTTTAGATTTTGTTTTTTGCTTGAATTTAGTTTGAAAATCAGATTAAACCTGACAATGTCTATGATTCTGATATCTTTGTTATCTTGAAAAGAAACATGAGTTAGTCTGGTAAAACTCTCGAGACCAAGCAGGGATTTAAAGTAGCATACTGTAGACATAATTACCATTAAGTGCACAATTTTAATTTACTTATGTTGGTTGTTGGGCTTATAAACTCCCCAAGCGAAACATACTCTAATGAAGGGGGGGTTTGTTTTGTTTTAATCAAGAAAACTAATGTCTAATGTGCTATTTGCACATTTGTGTATTCACAAGTTTAAAGATTTGCTTGTATCTCTCTGCCCTTAATATCTGTCTCTCTGTGTCTGTCTGTCTGTCTGTCTCTCTCCCTCGTGTGTGTGTGTGTGTGTGTGTGTGTGTGTGTGTGTGTGTGTGTGTGTGTGTATCTGTATACCACTCTGGTGCCGAGGCCAGAAGAGGGCATCAGATCCCCTGGAACTGGAGTTACAGAAGGTTGTGAGCTGTCATGTGGATGCTGGGAATTGAACCTGGGTCCTCTGGAAGAGCAGCCAGTGTTCTTAAGCACTGAGCCATCTCTTGCAGTTCCTAATTCTGCTATTTATCCTGGAGTTTGAGTGCCAGTAAAGAAAAACACAGGTACAAGATGTTTGTTTGATCTGTTTAAGTTTAAATGGCTCTCAAAGGCTCACAAATCATAGAAGTGACTTGAACACATCTTGAACAACGTGTCTGTTTGTTAGCTGGATGTGATGGCCTGCTCCTGTAATTCCAGCTCTCTGAGGCCAAGGCACAGGATTGTCATGAGTTTGAGGACAGCTTGAGCTGTAGAGTGAGACTCTCTAAATAAACAAATAAACAAATAAAATCCAAAACAAATGCACCCACCGCTGCAAACAAAAGAGAACATCTTCCTTTTTCATTCCCAGTCTTCCCTTCTGCTCAGGGATGGGGCAGTGACCTGGTACGATGGATCAGTCAGGAAAAGTGCTTGGCCCAGGTCTGACAGCCTTAACTAGCTGGGCTCCATCCCAGACAGTTAAAGGAAAGGGCTGACTCAAATACTGTCCTGTGGCCTCTACATGGCACGTGACGAACACTCACACAAAGTGCACACATAAATAAATAACTGTAATTCCAGGAAAATTTGAAAGGAAAGAAGGAAGGTGGAAGGTAGTCTGGGACTGTAGCTTAGCGATAGATACTGGCCTAGCTTTCCTGAGGCCCTGGGTTCTGTCACCGACACCACAGATACACACA